TTTTTTTTAACACCACATCAACTCTCTCAATCAACCAAATTTTGGTTCAATTTTCCCCAATCTTGGCCGGTTATGGAAGGAGAAAAGGAGAAGCCAAAATTGCCATTAATTCCCCTTCAACCACTACCATCCCATCACCTTAACTTGTAGCCTTCTAACACACTCAACATATAACCAAAATTTTTGGATATAACTTCCTAAGGATGGCCGGCCAAGTGAAGAGAAAAAGGAGAAAAAAAAACATCACATCTCATCAAATCACACACACTAACCTACACCTTGTATTTTTGTCCATTCCCTTAACTTACTCATTAAAACTGTCCAAAATTATGCTGACAGTTATTTTCTCCTGTATACGGGTTCTGGATGCTAGGTTGTACTGTGCTGGGAGATTCTTAAAATTAAGATTCTCTAACTGTATCTATACTGGAAATTCTTCCGTTTTAAAGTACGGTGAGAATTTATCGATCGAATTTACTTGATCGGAAAAATGTGAACTTAACGTGAAATCTGCTACAGAATTTAGGAATGCAGATGTTAATTCCCTAAATCCTTCAATCACAAAATGTACATAGTATAATGATTTTCCCGGAAAATCCTTGACTTGAATACATGAATTATATTATTAAAATTATGGGATTTTTTTCTTGGTCACTACAAGAAGGGTCTGAGGTGTTTCAAATGTTGAGAAGCAAAGGATTTAGTGTTTCGATAAATGCTTGTAATAGTCTTCTTGGAGGGCTTGTGAAGGTTGGGTGGGCTTGGGAAGTATATTGGGAAGTTGTTAGAAGTGGGATTGATTTGAATGTCTATACACTTAACATCATGGTCAATGCGCTGTGTAAAGACGGCAAAGTCGATCGCGTCAAGTTGTTCTTATCGGACATGGAAGAGAAAGGAATTTTTCCGGATATCGTGACCTACAATACATTGATCAATGCCTATTGTCGCCAAGGGCTTTTGGAAGAAGCTTTTCGTTTAGTAAACTTAATGTCGTGTAAGGGGCTAAGACCTGGACTGTTTACTTACAATACTATAATAAATGGATTGTGTAAGGCAGGAAATTGCGCAAGAGCAAAGGAAGTCTTGGATGAGATGTTGTGGCTTGGGTTGAATCCTGATACTACTACATACAATGCATTGCTTTCTGAGAGTTGTAGAACAAATAATATTGTAGAGGCTGAGGCGATTTTCCGTGAAATGTCAAGTAGAGGTGTTTATCATGATCTGATTAGCTTTAGTGCGCTGATTGGCATGTTCGCAAGGAATGGACATGTTGACCGGGCTTTAGTGTATTTTAAAAGTCTGAAAAGGGAAGGATTGGTTCCAGACAATGTGGTCTATACCATCCTTATAGATGGATATTGTAAAAAGGGTATGATGTCAGAGGCATTAAAGATGAGGGATGAAATGCTAGAGCAAGGTTGTGTTGTGGATGTGGTTACATACAACAGTATTATGAATGGATTGTGTAGAGACATGATGCTTGCTGATGCAGACATGCTGTTTAATGAGATGGTGGAAAGGGGTGTTGTTCCTGATTTTTATACTTTCACCACTCATTCACGGATATTGTAAGAATGGGAAGATGAGTAGAGCACTCGATTTATTCCGGACAATGATTGAAAGAAATCTCAAGCCTGATGTTGTGACATACAATACGTTGATTGATGGGTTTTGCAAAGCAGGTGAAATAGAGAAAGCTAAGGAGTTATGGGGAGATATGATCTCTAGAAATATATTTCCTAATCACGTTTCATATTGCATTCTAATAAATGGGTTCTGTAGCATGGGACATGTATCCGAGGCATTCAGATTGTGGGACCAGATGGTGGAAGATGGCATAAATCCTACTCTTGTGACTTGTAACACGGTCATAAAGGGTTACTGCCGATCTGGCGATGCTGCAAAGGCAGATGAATTCTTGGGCAAAATGATTTCTCGAGGAGTTGTTCCTGACAGCATTACATACAACACTTTGATCAACGGATTTATTGGAGAAGATAATCTGGACAAAGCTTTTGTTTGCATTAGTAACATGGAAGATCGAGGGTTGGTGCCGGATGTTATTACTTACAATGTAATTCTAAATGGGTTCTCTAAACAGGGTAGAATGCAAGAGGCCGAGCTAGTACTTCGGAGGATGATTAAAAGAGGTGTAAATCCTGATAGATCTACTTATACATCATTGATAAATGGACATGTATCCCAGGACAACTTGAAGGAAGCATTTCGTTTCCATGATGAAATGCTGCAAAGGGGGTTTATACCGGATGATAAATTTTAACTTTCTGCTTTTGTGGCTGAAGGTATGATCTCTTGTGAGCTACTTCATCTCAATGTGTTGTTCTTTCAATATTAGTTTTAGTTTATATTCTTATCTGTTTGCAATTTGTTTGAATTAGCAGTATTCAAAAGTATATAAAAAGGTGGAGATTCCCATCTATTTTATGAGACATGCCTGTGTTTATCTCCTGTGAAGGGTTTGTTTCCCTGCTTGGTTGAAAACATTTTGATAGCTATTTAGGAAATCGTGAAGTAAAATGTTTCTTCCGCTACGTTTGAATTGGAGAGGAGTTAATCAGTTCCAATGTCCCATGAAGGTTCTTTTCCAAATTTGAGGAAACTTGATGCTTCTGTCATCAAAAAGGTGTGGACATATGACATCATCTACTTCAAACTCATCACCTATGGTTGTGTCAGGTGTGGAGTTACCGCTGGGCTATGCCTACAACCACAATTTCTTGTTATTTTTATTTGTCAAGGATTTTCACTTTCTTATTTTATTTAAAGATTTCATTTCCAGAGATTGCAAATAAGTTGAGCCAAGCCCACCTTTGTTGCTTGATAACTCTAGAAATTAGAGTTATCTTAGGCATCTTTAAGCTTAAAGTTTGCTCAGCCGAAGGTAAGTTTGCTTGTTTTTGTATGTTTTTATCTTCAATTTCTGGGTTTTGTGATCTGTCATGCTAAGATCTGTATATGTGCTACTTCTGAGGTGATTTGGAGGAAAATTGAATAAAAAAAGGGCTGAGTTGTGTTCTATGGTATGTTGGTGTGAATTGCAGGAATTTTGAAGAAAATGCTGCAGTATTCTGTTACAGCAACATTAGTAGCAGTCAGGTTTGTGGATGACATCAGCACATGTCATTGTGAGAAAAAATATAAAAGTACATAAGGAAGAATGCTGTGGACATGTCATTGCTGCCCAAACCACTCACAAAGTGAAACCTCGGCATCCTTTTTTGGTGCCCTAGAGAAGAGTACATGACAGCCTTAAGAAAAGCGCCGCTAAGAGGAAGAAAGAGGGGGTACCCAGAGAAAAAGGGTTGGAAGCTCCCAGCCCAGAGAGCTCTGCATAGAGCCCGAAACCAAAGAAAAGAAGAGAGGAAATAAGGCTTTTTCAAGCCAAATTAAGAAAACAAGAGAAAAAGATCCGGACAGAAAGAGGGAGGCAAGAACCAGACGAGAGAAACCGAAAAAAAGCAAGAACCAGAAAGGGAAATAGAAGGAGGAAAGTACCAGAGAAGAAGAGAAGCAGAGAGCTGCTTGAAGGCTACCCGGAGAAAGAGGAGGAATCAAGGGATTCAAGCTCTAAATCAGCTGAAATTTCTTTTCTCTATCTGTTGTCTTCAAATTCTTTTGCTTCTTTTGAATTGTGATCTGCATTGAATAATGAAATATATTGAGAATTTGGTTTTTATAAATTCAGTTATGAACTAATTTGTTTTAGTTAGGTCTGCTAATAGAACCAAGGTTGTAAGAAAGATAGTTTGCTTATGGAATGTTTATTGACTCTTATTCCTGTTCATCAATGTGTGTTAATGCTTATCTCTATTTTTGACTGGCCATTAATTATAAGATACTAGATTAAGATTAATACTAGAAAGGTTAATTTTAATTGGATCTAACATGGATGATGCAAGTTCAATACTCTTGTTTGAGCTTATTGATTTGTGAATGGTATAGGAATATATTGCTCATCTTGTATAACCTAGTGAAACCGGTGTTGAAAATTGCATTATGATAACTAGATTCACATAGGAATATACTGGAAATGGTTTAAAGAATTTTTAATCATAATAATTCGGAAGAATTTTTAATCATAATAATTCGGAAGAATTTTATGCAACAAAACTAAGTTTCGGTTAATAGGGGTAATTTTTGCTATAGCATTCCTGTAGCAATTACTGTCAGACTTACAATTGAGGGGAAATTAGTAATCCTGGCTTATTTAAATCACTGGTCCTGCAGCAATTACTGTCAGGGGAAATTAGTAATCCTGGCTTATTTAAATCACTGGTTATAATCTGTAATTGAGCTCTCGTGCTCTTGCCACCTTTTTTGCTTTCATTTGAAACTGTTTTTCTTCATTTTATATTTGATGTAGTGAGTTTTAGTTAATTAACTTTCTCTACTTTAGTGTTTGGCATGATTTATGTATTTTACAATTAATGATTCAATCTCCGTGAGAACGATATCCGTACTCTTGTACACTTTATTACTTGTTCGGCACATGCACTTGCATAGCAATTTAGGCAACATTGCTGTAGATAGTCGACTTTTAATCAAGTTCGTGTAGCTCGACCTTGGCTTCCAAGAAAATTATGGAGCTCGAGCGTGACTTTTGCACTTCTGCACGGACTCGTGAGTCTTACTCCTCCATTACCAAATGACCGGGATTGAGCTAAAATCTTACAGATGTTCTCCTTAGTTACTTAGCCTGTTTTCACAGTCACCTTACTCTTTCATTAGATTTGTTGTGTCGTTTGAATCATGGCAATCAGGCATTTGTACTCTTTAGTTATGAATCAATTACCAATTTTTTTTTTACTAGTATATCAAAGAGTGTTTTAAACTTTTGCTATTTACTCTCTGACATTTCAATTTCAAAATTTTTGTCAAGTTATTTCGTCTTTTGGACAAAGTTCTTTCCCAAGCACATGCACTTTGTCCAGTAACATATATAAGTGAAATCACTGAAGGTGCAATAGTTCTTTCTCCTGAGGATAAAGAGTAAATATATGCTTTAGCCTTATTTTCAGTGCATGCCTAGGTTTTGATTGTGTCAACACAGAAATCCAAATACATGTTAATGATTTCAGGTGAAGTTCATATCTTTTCATCTATGCTCTATGTTCTTAGCACATCGGTCATTCTCTTGGCTTTTTATTGAAGTGACAAGGTGAATCTCCATTGGATGGGATCTTGTGATCGTTGTTTACCATTGTAGCGTTTTTGTCATTTACTGTGAGCTTGGAGGAAACCTATCGTCTTGGCTAATGTTCATAAGTTATTCATATTCTGAGTTCATCCCTGTATGCAGCCTGCAAGTATGTTAATGGTGACCATTTTAATGAATAAGGGCTTCACGAATTTCCAGTTGCCAAGTACTTCCCATTTGCTGAATCACTGTGTTTTCAAATAATTTGCGCTCATATTCATGGGGTGTTGGTTGGAACGGTTAGGCCGTTGGTTTGCTTCCACAATGTTTGGGGTTCAAACCAACTCATGACCACCTAGATGACAAAAGTCATAGTTTCCTGCCTTCCTAAGATAGACGGAATGAAAACTTGGCATTCATTAATAGACGGAATGGAGCTTCAATATCTTTGAATTCTCTATGGACTTTTGGGCTTTCCACGGTTCTAGAGCGCATGATTTCTGGACTTCTGCGTCGGGACCGGTGAATATACCATGTAAGTTGGCTTTTGGGGCAATCATATGTACTTATTTAGCCGGAGAGAACTTGGGGGGTGCCTCTGAAGTTGAACTTTGGAGAAATAGTAGTTTGGAAGATTTTTTTTTTTTTGTTTTTTGGCTGCTGGAAGGTCGTGTAGTTTTTGACTTGAGTGACTTGAACATGATGAGCATTCTAGCTAATTTCTTAAGGGCTTCAAAAGAATTCATAAAAGGTTAGGAAGCCAGAGGATGATAAGTAAGTGGGTTTGGTGCTGGCTCTAACATAAGTTATTATCTGCTCTGATTAAATGATCGCAGAGATGTTTCGGAGCATATTTGTTGTATAGGCATGTGATAAAGTCCGAAAATTTTCCATTTTTTTTGGTCGTTTTCAGAAGCTGTCCTGTTGCTTTCAAAGTGAATTTAATAAAATTATTATTCAATAAAGTAATAGAATTTTGGCATGGTGGTTCTTCTTCTTTTGTTTCTGTTTTTTGTTTTTTTGTTTTTGTTCTTTTATTATTTTTACTTTAGTAAACTTTTTAGTAGACCAAAGCTTAAGCATATTACTGTTTCTAAGGTACAATGCTCGACATTTTCCATCTTTCCGCATGAAGTGCCTAATAAACTGAATGAAGCTTAAAGCTTTTAGCAAGTCAGCGGTCTTATTGATTCTCAGTTTTCCGAATTTGTACCTTTGATTTTGGTATCAAAGTGTGCAAGTATTATGAGGATTGTTACTGTTGTGGGGGTAAAACCTTAAACCCCACACGAGGCAATAGCTGAACGCCACGTGGCGTGATTAAAGCATAAAATAATCAAGATATAAAGGTACGGAGTGGCGGTAGAGCGCACTCACGGACGTCGACCCTTAACGATCAAACAACCCCACTGAAGGAGTCGACTAGAGGGAACAAAGGTCACGTCACGGAGACGAATGCTTCACTGGCCATGAACGAAGATCGCTTCCAAAGAGCGGGAGGCGACGAACCCACCCATGTCCGGACTGAAGTACAACTGTACCAAGATTTGACATGCATTAAATGCATGCAGAGTAGGTGGTGAAGCCGGTGGAGAAAGTTAGGCAGACTAGCTGAAATCTCAGTGATCAGAGATTACTGTTCCGGAGTGTGGTGAAGATATCACAAGATTTGATTAGATAATTGATAATTGACAGAAATGAGATGATGTATATATGCAGGGAGAATGGTCTGAGAGGGGTTCAGACTCTTGAACACCTCTCTCCCTAGAACTTATAATTTTGACCCAGAATAGTAAAAAGCTCTCTCAGTAGACGTAGCTCTATATTGAAGTGAACCACTATAAATCCTCTGTGTTGATCTTATTTCAGTTCTTCTTATTCACGTTTAGAGTCATTTAATCCGTGCACAAATCACAAAAACTTGTTTTTAATTTGTTGACTAGTTTTTACTGTCAACAGTTACTATTGTAACATTTTTCTCGTTCTAGTTGGTTTTTTGTTTTTTTTTTTTAAATCATTTCTATGTTCTGTTGCAACGGATAATGGTGTTATTTTTCCTGGAGCCAAAAGCATCTAGGAAAAGATTTTTAACTTTTGTAAAAAGGGCAAAAGATAGGTTCTCCTTTCATGTTTGCTAGAGTTCATTACTGAAAGGGCATTCATATTAAGAATGAGGAGAGAGGAGGTGAGAGAGAGTGTGAGGAGAGAGAATAGCCAAACTAAATATATTTTTTCATTTCAGTATATTCCTTCATATATATATATATATTTGGTATACTCATTAATATATATATATATATATATATATATATTATCAGCTTGAATGACACTGGTTGACGAGAGCGTCGATCTTATGTTGAAGTCAACCTGGGACAAGTGTTCCAAGCCCCAGGATTCTCTCCCAACAGGGAACTGTGTTGTGACCGAGGAGCTGACCTTTGATGTGTTGGAGCACTTTTACGAGGACACATTTGATGTTGTGACAGAGGAGCCGTTAGTAAGAGTCGCGTAAAGTTCAATAAAGTATACTATATAAGTTCAATAAAGCATTTACCCACTCATCGGTCAGCTAGAAACAGCGTACCCCATTGTGATTTTTGAAACTGTTAAGGTTTGGAAATTTTTTTGAAATGAAAAGTTCAATAGTGAAAAAAGAAAAGTGAAAATGACAAACATAAAAGTTGCAGCATGATTTCTAGGGGAAGAGATGCACAAAAAAGAAAGTTATCAACATAATTAGTAGGACTATAATTTGAGTTTTCAAGTCATAAGGACACAAAGTTCACTACCTATACAAGAACAAACTTAATCAATCTACAATCCCTAGAAAAGTGATGGTTCCCAAAGAAAATTAGACCGTAAAAGCGTTAAGAGATCTGTTCCCTGTTGTGTCTTGTGAAAAGAGCTTTCTAATTATGATAAAAAA